TCTACTCTACATTTGACTGATGAAAGGCTGGCAGTGAGATACAGTTCTGTCAAGAAAAGATAGCAAGTTCTGAACATGGGTTTTGTTTATCAAAATAAAGAAGTTCGATGATTTTGGTAATATCTTCCAGGAAATAAAAGTGCCAGTCACGGTGTTCACTCAAAAATGTTCAAGAAATGTCAAAGTATTTTACCCACAATAGTATTTTACAAACCATTCTGCAAAAAATACCCTGACTTTGTTCTCTGTAAATAAAGCATTTGCCACTTTTTGCGTGTGTGACCCAATTCATATTTGCATAAATAACTCCTGACCATTTTGACCTGATTTGTAAATATGAAAATAATTCATTACCACTGTAACCTCTTTTCTATAAGAACTTTGGGGCCCAGTACCTGGACCCATTATGTACCTCTGTAATGTTGAGGTACAGTACCTGGACCCATTATGTACCTCTGTAATGTTGAGGTACAGTCCTGGACCCATTATGTACCTGAATGTTGAGGTACAGTACTTGACCATTATATACGTCTGTAATGTTGAGGATACAGTACCTGGACCCATTATGTACCTCTGTAATGTTGAGGTACAGTACCTGGACCCATTATGATACCTGTGTAATGTTGAGGTACAGTACCTGGACCCATTATGTACCTCTGTAATGTTGAGGTACAGTACCTGGACCCATTATGCACCTCTGTAATGTTGAGGTACAGTACCTGGACCCATTATGTACCTCTGTAATGTTGAGTACAGTACCTGGACCCATTATGTGCCTCTGTAATGTTGAGTACAGTACCTGGACCCATTATGTGCCTCTGTAATGTTGAGTACAGTACCTGGACCCATTATGTGCCTCTGTAATGTTGAGTACAGTACCTGGACCCATTATGTACCTCTGTAATGTTGAGGTACAGTACATGGACCCATTATGTTCATCTGTAATGTTGAGGTACAGTACCTGGACCCATTATGTACCTCTGTAATGTTGAGTACAGTACCTGGACCCATTATGTACCTCTGTAATGTTGAGTACAGTACCTGGACCCATTATGTACCTCTGTAATGTTGAGGTACAGTACCTGGACCCATTATGTACCTGTGTAATCTTGAGGTACAGTACCTGGACCCATTATGTACCTCTGTAATGTTGAGGTACAGTACCTGGACCCATTATGCACCTCTGTAATGTTGAGGTACGTACCTGGACCCATTATGTACCTCTGTAATGTTGAGGTACAGTACCTGGACCCATTATGTTCATCTGTAATGTTGAGTACAGTACCTGGACCCATTATGTTCATCTGTAATGTTGAGGTACAGTACCTGGACCCATTATGTTCATCTGTAATGTGAGGTACAGTCACCTGGACCCTTATGTACCTCTGTAATGTTGAGTACTGTACCTGGACCCATTATGTACTCTGTAATGTTGTAGGTACAGTACCTGGACCATTATGCACCTCTGTAATGTTGAGTACAGTACCTGGACCATTATGTATCTGTAATGTTGAGGTACAGTACCTGGACCCATTATGTTATTCTGTAATGTTGAGGTACAGTACTGGACCATTATGTACCTCTGTAATGTTGAGGTACAGTACCCTGGACCCATTATGTACTCTGTAATGTTGAGGTACAGTACCTGGACCATTATGTACCTCTGTAATGTCGAGGTACAGTACCTGGACCATTATGTCATCTGTATGTTGAGGTACAGTACCTGGACCCATTACGTACTCTGTAATGTTGAGGTACAGTACTGGACCCATTATGTACCTCTGTAATGTTGAGGTACAGTACCTGGACCCATTTATGTTATCTGTAATGTTGAGGTACAGTACCTGGACCCATTAGTTAATCTGTAATGTTGAGTACAGTACCTGGACCCATTATGTTCATCTGTAATGTTGAGGTACAGTACCTGGACCCATTATGTTCATCTGTAATGTTGAGGTACAGTACCTGGACCCATTATGTACCTCTGTAATGTTGAGGTACAGTACCTGGACCCATTATGTACCTCTGTAATGTTGAGGTACAGTACCTGGACCCATTATGTTCATCTGTAATGTTGAGTACAGTACCTGGACCCATTATGTTCATCTGTAATGTTGAGGTACAGTACCTGGACCCATTATGTTCATCTGTAATGTTGAGGTACAGTACCTGGACCATTATGATACCTCTGTAATGTGAGGTACAGTACCTGGACCATTATGTACTCTGTAATGTTGAGTATAGTACCTGGACCCATTATGTACTCTTGTAATGTTGAGGTACAGTACCTGGACCCATTAGTACCTCTGTAATGTTGAGGTACAGTACCTAGGACCCATTATGTACCTCTGTAATGTTGAGGTACAGTACCTGGACCCATTATGTACCTCTGTAATGTTGAGGTACAGTACCTGGACCCATTATGTACCTCTGTAATGTTGAGGTACAGTACCTGGACCCATTATGTACTCTCTGTAAGTGTTGAGGTACAGTACTGGACCATTATACACCTCTGTAATGTTGAGGTACAGTACCTGGACAGATTATGTACCTCTGTAATGTTGAGGTACAGTACCTGGACCCATTATGTTCATCTGTAATGTTGAGGTACAGTACCTGGACCCATTATGTACCTCTGTAATGTTGAGGTACAGTACCTGGACCCATTATGTACCTCTGTAATGTTGAGGTACAGTACCTGGACCCATTATGTACCTCTGTAATGTTGAGGTACAGTACCTGGACCCATTATGTACTTCTGTAATGTTGAGGTACAGTACCTGGACCCATTATGTATCTCCGTAATGTTGAGGTACAGTACCTGGACCCATTATGTATCTGTAATGTTGAGGTACAGTACCTGGACCCATTATGTATCTCTGTAATGTTGAGGTACAGTACCTGGACCCATTATGTACCTCTGTAATGTTGAGGTACAGTACCTGGACCCATTATACACCTCTGTAATGTTGAGGTACAGTACCTGGACAGATTATGTACCTCTGTAATGTTGAGGTACAGTACCTGGACCCGTTTGTTCATCTGTAATGTTGAGGTACAGTACCTGGACCCATTATGTATCTCTGTAATGTTGAGGTACAGTACCTGGACCCATTATGTATCTCTGTAATGTTGAGGTACAGTACCTGGACCCATTATGTATCTCCGTAATGTTGAGGTACAGTACCTGGACCCATTATGTACATCTGTAATGTTGAGGTACAGTACCTGGACCCATTATGTACCTCTGTAATGTTGAGGTACAGTACCTGGACCCATTATGTACATCTGTAATATTGAGGTACAGTACCTGGACCCATTATGTACTCTGTAATGTTGAGGTACATACCTGGACCCATTTTTAACTCTGTAATGTTGAGGTACAGTACCTGGACAGATTATGTACCTCTGTAATGTTGAGGCACAGTACCTGGACAGATTATGTACCTCTGTAATGTTGAGATACAGTACCTGGACAGATTATGTACCTCGGTAATGTTGAGGTACAGTCCCTTGACCCATTATGCACCTCTGTAATGTTGAGGTACAGTACCTGGACCCATTATGCACCTCTGTAATGTTGAGGTACAGTACCTGGACCCATTATGTATCTCTGTAATGTTGAGATACAGTACCTGGACCCATTATGTATCTCTGTAATGTTGAGGTACAGTACCTGGACCCATTATGTATCTCTGAAATGTTGAGATACAGTCCCTGGGCCCATTATGTTTTTACTGTAATGTTGAGAAACAGTCCCTGGACACATTATGTTCCTTTGTAATGTTGAGATACAGTCCCTGGACCCAATATGTTCCTTTGTAATGTTGAGATACAGTCCCAGGACCCACTATGTTCCTCTGTAATGTTGAGATACAGTCCCTGGACGCATTATATACCTCTGTAATATTATGACTGCCGCCCCCAGGATGGGTATGGGGTGCACATTGTTTTTTAATTAAAAAAAACACACTGGGCTAACATTTTCACGAAAACGATCACTACAGTAGGCCTACTGGTGCCTACTGATAGTGTTCTTCTCAAATTCGACTTATACCATTTCCATTTTAAACCTTCGAAAAAATACAAATTTCAAAGTCAACAGAAAAACAACGCAGGAAATTTTGTGTTTGTGTAAGAAAACGGTAAAAATTTTGTTTATGCTGCATAACTAATGAAAAAAAAAATACATCATAGGGATAAAAATAAAAATTTTTTTTTTTTTTAATTTAATAAATTTCCATTCAGAAGACAAGTTATCTGATTCAGTTGAATTAATTCGAAAGAGAATACGAAAGACAGAGTTATTAATGAGAGAGAGAGAGAGAGAGAGGAAGAGAGGAGAGAGAGAGAGAGAGAGAGAGAGAGAGAGAATCACAGCAGACTCAACAGTCAGTTACTAGGACACAGCAGTTGATAACGAGAGACAAGGAGTCTTCTGAGATGTGAGCATCTCTTAGCTAAGCTCTATGAGAGCAGCTAGAGCACCGCTGTAGGCAGCGTTGTAGTCACAGGTGACCTCATTCTGCTCGTAGTTAGAGCGTTCGTCCACGTAGTTGCCATGCTGAGGAAGGGAGCAAAACGCAGCATGAGCTGAAGCAAGACTGACATTGTTGACGGGGTCACACAATACAATTTAGGTCACTGAGGGCAGGGAGGTCGCGAATGGCAAGTGTCATGCATGACGAGGAATCTTTCATCATCGGAAAAAAATGTAAGATTCCTGTGTCTTACGCTCATGAATTTAATACTAGGACAAACCGTCTCTTACAGCAAGATTCTCACTTTTAAAGTATTTGATAAAAATTATAAATAATGTCCGACAGACTGAACAAGAATCATGGAGGATAACGAGTGATAATCTTAATTAACAAAAGCACTCTAATCTGCCCCGGTTCAGGTGACTGGGTTTACCAACCTCATCTGGTCCACCGACCAAGGCACCATATAGGACGTGTGGGTTGGGTCCAGGCTGGCTGAAAGCCCAGCCATAGTCACAAACCTCAGGGGGGTCGGGACATGAGCTGAAGATCAAGGAGAGAGATCACGTTAGAAAACTCAAGTTTTGTCTCATTTGTAATTTTCATCTCCAGTTTTGCATTCTTGTTTCAGTTGGCTTCAACAGTAATTAGAATAACTTTAGAGAAAATTAAGAGTCACAGTGGAGTAGCTGTAGCAATTCACATTTGTAACTGGTATTGATACAAATATCGCAAAATTGTCATATGTGTGTACCTGGATCGGTGGTGAGGTCTTTCAGGATACTTGTCACCGAAGCCCACAACGAAGGTCATGTTGTAGCGAGAGTTGGCACCCAGAAGCTGGTCCATCTGATCCTGACCCCACTCGCTGTTCACTGACGTGTCCACACCTTGTTTGGCAGCCTTGAAATGTAGAAGAAGCGACGCATCAAGGCTGGAATTCTCACATATACACACAAACACACACAAAAAAAAAACAATAGTACAAAATAATTTTTCTTATCACTTCCGTTTGACTTTGTGTTTTGTGGTGAACAAAGACACGGAAAATCTAAATTTTAAGAGCTGTCTTCTGATGAGCAGCAGATTCATAACTTCATCTCATCCACCTGATTGTTTTGCAGTTAATCATCCCATGGCATGGATACTTTCACAATCTTTTAACTTAACAGGTCATCAACAAACAACCGAAAGATTTTTGTAGCCAAACTTTCTCTTTCGTCACCATTCTGACAGCAACAGTGTTAATAGATCACATTTTGGTTTTAATTAGACAGTTTAAAAGATTTATTTTGATTTTTTGATTAGGAACAAGGGAGAAACATCTAATATAGATTACAGCTGCTCTTGCACAACAGGGGATTTTGTGATATAGTTTTCTGGTTAGATATATAGAATGTAGAAGTATAGAGGAACTGACCCAGAGTGCGAGGAAGGCAACATTAGCAGCATGCCTGTTTGATCCCCACTCGGAGATGAAGACCAGACCCTCTGGGGTGTATGTAGCGGTGTTCTGCAGGTAATCCAGGAAGGTGGTGAGGTGGTCCAAGTAGATCTGGGAACCGTCCAGCAACCAGAAGAGCGCCTGTGGGAATCACAAGAACTCGTTTAGGAACACAAAATGTGACGCACCAGTTAGTTGTTTCATTGAGGTGTGACAATACCTTCGTGTGTTAGTGTGACTAGTTAATTATTCAAGGACCGAAACGTTGTCAGAAATTTACAAAAAACACCTATGCATTACCTCTTTTATGTTTATTTATTATTAAGTTTTTACGATATTTTCTATAAAAAAACAACACTTTACATAGAAATGTTCAACAGTAATTTTACAAACAGTGAAGACACAGGTTTTGAATATGGAGATACAGATTTAAAGACACATGGAAGCACAGGGAGAACTTTGTGTTTCATCCTCAAGATGGCGTTCTAAAACTAAATTCTATAACTGGAAACTTAATATGAAGCCATAAACACAAGTAGCAAAATAAGCTTTTTTTTTTTTTTTTTGCAACGGAGTCGCTCTGTGTAGAGCTTCGTCAATTCATGACATGATAAAGCTCGATAAACTGTCCCAATAAACACCTGTTTAGCAACGTGTCTTCGTCTCTACACTCGTCGACAATAAGCTCTCTCATGCAGCAAGACTCACATAGATTCCGGCCGTCTTGTCGTCCCAGGAGAACTCAGTAGGTACTGAATACTGAAAGTTGAACTCGTCCCAGTGACCCTTGGCGCGGGTGAGGTAACTCTCGTCCTCCGTCGCTCTGTACATCCACAGACTAGACCAGACCAGCTCGTCACCATACCCGTTATATGATCTGCAGACATACGCAGAATAAAGACCTTGTCGGGGGAAAGACGCAAGATTTATTCTCCAGGAGCCTGACCAATCAAAGACAGCGATTACTGGGAGGAGCCTCAAGCCTCCAGTACTCGTTGTCAAATACGAAAAATCATTTATGTATATAATTATATTGTTTTAATATGTAACGTAAATATCGAAGGTATTTATTGAGATTACATAAAAAAAAACTTCAGGCAGGAAGCAACTCCAATTGACCAGCATCAAACAGGACAGTTCATTGTCCTTGGGAAAATTCTAGTGTTCATGGTGTCGCTGATACTTGGAAAAGCTCCCGATCCAGGGAGTTGGAGCTACCACCATCTTTTCCTCGGATTAGATATGTACTTACGGGTAGGCGTCGGGGATCGCAACGTCGTAGTTTCCACGGAAGTTGTCACCGAACTCGTAGAGTTCCTTGGCCAGGGCTAGTAACTCCTCGGCGTAGTCAGCGTCCGTATCCTGAGGCGGGAAGTGACGGGGTGAGTGCCGAGGGAAGTAGTGAGGAGGAAAGAAGAGGGGACGCAATGAGGCTTAAGGGACTGATCTCCTCTAACCGAGAGTGGTCAATAGATCACATACAATCTTTTGCTGCTTCCTGTATTGGACTGAAGAAACATATTGTGCAAGCTAAACGGTTTGGCATTAAAGACACCCACATGTTGCATGTGCGAGGGAAGTACCAAGGGAGGTAGTAAGGGAAGTAGCGAGGGAAGTAACAAGGGAGGTAGTAAGAGAAGTAGCGAGGGAAGTAGCGAGGGAAGTATTGAGACAAGTAGCGAGAGAAGTAGCTTGGAAAATAGCAAGGGAAGTAGCGAGTGAAGTGGAAAGGAAAGCGGTGAGGGAAGTGGCAAGAGAAGTGGCAAGGGAAGTAGCAGGGGAAGCAGCGAGAAAAGTAGCAAGGGAAGTAGCAGGGGAAGTAGTAAGGAAATTAGCAAGGGAAGTGCCAAGGAAAGTAGCAAGGGAAGTAGTGAGGGAAGTAGCAAGAAAAGTAGCAAGGGAAGTAGCGAGGGAAGTAGCAAGGGAAGTAGTGAGTGAAGCAGCAAGGAAAGTACCAAGAAAAGTGCCAAGGGAAGTAGCGAGTTAAGTAGCAAGAGAAGTATTGAGCGAAGTAGCAAGGGAAGTAGTGAGCCAAGTAGCAAAGTAGTGAGGGAAGTAGCAAGAAAAATGGCACGGGAACTTGCAAGGGAAGTAGCGAGGGAAGTAGGAAGGCAAGTAAGTGGAAAGTAGCAAGGGAAGTAGCAAGGGAAATAGCACGAGAAGTAACGACAGAAGTAGCAAGGAAGTAGCAAAGAAAACAGCAAGAGAAATAGCAAGGAAAGTAGTGAGGGAAGTAGCGAGGGAAGTAGCAAGAGAAGTAGCGAGGAAAGTAAAGAGGGAAGTAGCGAAGGAAGTAGCAATGGAAGTAACAAAGAAAGTAGTGAGAGGGGATAATGAGGGAAGTAGCAAGACATGGAGAAGCGGTAAACCTGTATGGTTCATACATCACCTGGGGAATGGGAGATAATCAGGTGTGATCCGAGGAAGGTGACGACAGGAAGAGAGGAAAGGAACAGCAACGGGAGGACTGATGAATAATGGGAAGACAAGAACAGATATCAACAGGAAGGAAGAATATGAGTGAAAGAATAGGATATACTACAGGAGAATAAGGAGGAGAATAAGGAGGAAGAGGAAGAAGAGAGTAACAGGAAGAAATCGGCAGAAAAATAAGAAAAAATCAGAAAGGAGCAACAGGAGAGTAACAGTAGGAAACATGCAACAGGAAGAGAATTTTTGCATGACAGAAATCTAACCTTGAACACCAAGTAGGAAGCAGCAAGAGCGGCAGCTGTCTCAGCAGCCAATTCCGTACCTGAGACCAGAAAAATGACCGATTACTTACTCCTCTACTCTATCTCTTCTCTTCTTCCACTGTCTCCAGTATTAAAATCATCTCTGTATTCGATTAAAGAAGCCAGCTTTACAGGCGAAACGTTTTGACAATAAAGATACGTACTCATCTTCCACAATTCTTCTCTGTTTCGGACAGAAGCCACTGGCTGGTGAAATGTTTCCTCAGTAATAATTCCCAAAACTGTTTCATTACTCGTAAGTTTTCAATAAACATTTACAATAAAGCTATATGTTCTATTAATCAACTCGTCTAGAGTACTTCCGTCAACGTATGTGTCACTGAATAAAGAAATATAATTTTTGGTGAGAGATGGGGGACATTCTACTAGTTCATAATACTACAATGAGAAACAAGGGGCTGTGGAGTTGAGGATGGAGTTAATTTGTGTATCATCAGGACTCTGACTAGCCAGAGTCATCAGGACTAATTGAACAGGAAGGATTATCAGGACTTTGACTGACCATCCAGGTTCATTAGGACCCCGACTTATCAAACAGGATTATCAGGATACAGTTACACTAACCAGGATTTTCCTCATCGATCTTATAAGAAGGTCGTTCCTCTGTCATGACTTCAGGTCGTTCCCACAGGGCGTGGTCAATTACACTGTTTCCGACCTGAAAAACGACCAAACACATGCAATTGTTTGCCTGTATTATATTCTCTTTCGAATATATGTGCGTTTTGCCTGCAGTAAATAAAATTAAGTACTTACACGACTGTAAACAAATGATAAAACGGGTGGGGAACTAAGCCATGGCAAGAGAGTATTAAAACTAGCAGGCGAGTGCGTTAACAAACGGTCCATTGTCCATTTAGGAAGCTTCTTGTCGTCTCATACTCTAGGAGGCTTAGTTTCGTAAATTTCACTATTTCATGTATACAAAACTCAAAGTGTGTGATGACATTTGACAATGAAATACATTTAGTTTAATTCCCACTGTGTAACTATCATATAGAATAGAGTAGCGCCGCACTGCGGGTGTTCCCACAATGTAGGAGTACTCACAATATGGGTACTTCTACAATGCAACTATCATGAATTAACTATGTGCTCACCTGGCCCCAGAACTCATTCGTTGAGGTGTAACACTTGATGAAGTAGTCAGTACCCCACTTGATGGCATCCAACGCGTAATCAGTCTGGCCTGTGAACAATAACAACATATAAACGATATTTTCATGTTGTAAACATTTTCCAATAAAAAAGAAATCCGCGTGAGGAAATGAACAAATTTGGGCCGAGATATGAAGAAATTTATACTATGTTTCATTTTGCGTCGGACGAAAGCCAACTCCCCCGCTTTACTGTACCGCAGAAAGTCGGGAGACCCCGGGCCCAAGTTGGGAAGGTGAGGAAAAAGGGAAACCAACTTGAAAAAGTCCCAGCTGGGGGAGAGGTTAAACCGTGAATTATCTTTTTAAAGGGCTATAAAAATGACATCAAAAGCTAAATAAATTTAAAATACGTACAAAGAGGAAGTCTTTTGGCTTTTCGCTCAGGGTAATTTTTTTCAATATTATGCTTGAAAAATAATCACTGTGATCAAAATGTGCGAAAAAGGGATTTGCCTTCAAAAAATTTCTGTTCGTCTTGCTTGTTTTTTAATATAATATTTTTTGTTTGGTTTGGTAAGGGATGACCTCCAGCTTGGTTATTTCTTTATGCTCTCGACCGACTGCAAACCCCCGCATTCCATTTTATGAACTTTGATTTTTCCCTTTTCCCCCTAATATTTTAAATACACTTTTATATCTTTCCATATTCAGAAATATTTTCTGAATATTCCCTTTTACCTATTGGAATGAGCAATTTTCAACCAAAAATTTCTTTTTTTTGTTAATCTCCAGCCAAGAGAACTGTCTACCCAATAAATTTCCCCCAAAAGTTTTTGTATGTCATATTTATCCCCTTTTTTCCTCTTCTCCCAGAAAGGGGAGAAAAGAGAGAAGAGAGAAGGAAAACAAAAAGAGCTAGTTACCACGTATATCCACCAGTAAGGTCATGGCCTAATCAGTACCGTGTTTCCCGGGCAGAGTCACCTCGCCCTGGGGCGGGTTTTTTTCTGTAGTTTTCCTGAACGTTGAGCTTCGTGAAAAAATGACAACAGAGCGCCTTGAGAGTGAAAAGTGTAGGGAAAGTTTACAAAACCAAAACCAGAAAAACTTTAAGGGGAAACAGTAAAACCAGTAATATAAAGTAGGGGAGAAAGACGTCGTTTTATGGGTTCTAGATTTAAATTTTTGTCTCAAAAAGGGGCGATTTTTTTTAAGCATTTCGAGGGTTTATTTTCAGTATAAAAGTAAACAAAAGTGTAGAAATTCGACATATATTTATAAAAAAACCCACCGCCTTATTTACAAACGTAGTTTTATTACATAATTATTATATATTTGATTATTATATATTTATTTCTAAAAGTACAGTACAAGGATACAGCCATAGCTGAAACATCATACATACTACTACTAAAAGCGCTTTTTATCACAGCATTTGGGGTAAATTAGGTTAAATTTTTTGTTCCAGAGCGACCCACACCAGTCCATTAACACTCGGGACCCTTTTACTAAAGGGTGAAAAAGGACAGCGGGTGTCTTATGGAAACATGTTTTTCCCCGTACCGGGAAATCATCCCCAACCCCAGTGTAGGCTGAGTTCGTAGCGTCGATAAAGTAAAGTGTTTTTTAAAGTGTAATCACTGGCTGGGGAAAAATTTGGGTTTTAACCCCTCACACAGTTTCAACCTCTTTTCCCCAGGGGTTACTCCACCAAACCGCCCCCCAACAGCAAACCTTACATGGCTCAAGGCCACACAGTATCTATTTTACTCCACTATTTAACCAAAACAAATTTTAATATAAAAATTATAAAGTGTTCAGATCCACTGTTTTCTAAAATATTACCCCTATTAAACTCTCTTGAAACTAAACAAACCCTATATACCGTGGCAGTAACATTCACAGCTAACTCATAAATTAGATATGAAAAGTAGACATTTCTTCCCATCCTGGGAATTTATCAAGTATCTGCTAAAAAGCATTTTAAATTATTGCCTAATAAAAGTCAAATCTTTTTCAGTAACTTTCTTGTTTAGTGAAGACGTCTATAAAATGAATAATTTGTTACATTTATCTATTTGTACTCATTTTTATTTATTGTGATGAGGGAGAAAGACTCACCTGTGGGTAGTCAATGGGTGACGTGTCCGTAGCCTCACATGGGTTCTCGTCAGCGTGGGCGGTACCTGTGGGCGTGAGCAGTGGTGAGTGATATGGGCGTGAGGAGTGGTGAGTGATATGGGCGTGAGGAGTGGTGAGTTGTTGGTGGTGTGAGCGTGGCGAGTTTTGAGGGAAGTGGATTAGGAGGGAAAGACAAAAATGAAGACCGAATATGATCTTTTGAAGCTGAGGGTTAAAAGTGATTGTTTCTGTAGCTGGTTGACTTTATGGGGGTTAAGGTGTGTGTGTTAAACCAGTCTATACCTATGCAGAGGAGGGCGAGCGCCCCCAGCAGGCAGGTCTTCACCAGAACACCAGTAACCATGACTGCGGAAGTCTGAGGTGACGATGGGTCTTCCCTTCTCTCTTATATACGTGTACTAAAAAAGCGCGCCTAACCAGTGTGATCGTGGCAGCTGTTGCTTACCAGAGACCCAGTAAACTTCGTGTTGTACTTGTGTCCTTAAGCGTGGGACAAGTTATGCTCAGACGAAGATTATTGACAAGTACGTTCAGGTGTTGTTACTCCCAGTATTTACCTCTAACACCCACTATCAGTATATGAAGTTTTTATACTCAGTTTTATCATTTAGTTTAGGTTCGGTCAAACTGAAGGTTTGGTCAAACTACTTCTGAAATTTATTCCCAGCAAATACAAGGATATAAAAAAATATGGAAGAGACAAGAAGATCAGAAACTGAGTATAGACGCGAGGGACAAAAGCTGCAAACTTCACTAAATAAAGACCTTGGGGTAAGCATAGTACTAAGCATATCGCCGAAGATATCTATCAACAGAATAACCTCTTCAGTAAATGCAACTTCGAGTATGCAGCACCAGTATGAAACCCACACCTGATCAAGTGCATCAACAAAGTGGAAAAAAAGCAAAGGTTTCCAACGGAATTAGTTCCAGAACCAAAGTATATGGTCTATTAGGAAAGACTAAAGGAGCTAAACCTGGTTTACATTGGAGGACAGAAGAACAGAGGTGATTGATAACGATGCACAAAATACCCAGAGGAACTGAAACTTTAGATAGGCGTGAGATAATTATGAAGGCAGATGAATCACAGAAATGTCAGGAAATATTTCGTCAGCCTCAGTAAGTAGAGCATTTAAACAAGTACATCCCGACGGGTGCAACTCTGAGCAATCTTTAGCGAGTGAGAACTCGGTGAAGATAACATTTCAGTGAGCATCAACTCTCTCAGGTGTTTAAAGAAAACTCAGACTACATGAACTCATTGAGTAACAAAGGCTGATATCAGCATCAGACGTCACCAGCTGACTGACCTTCGATAAGATGTCACAGAATTTTATCGTGCGACAAAAATCAGTTTGTCTACAAGACGTCCAGATGTTGTGATTCCCTTCATCTTGTTGTTGCTATGGGTCTGAGAAGTGCTGGGAGATAAACCTTTACCAGTATGTATTTCCAGTGCAGTAATGTTCAAAGAACATTCTTACAATCCTAGTGGAAATAGGCACAATTCGTTTGATGTTTTGGGCTATGCTTGTTAATTAAAGCTCGTGGGTGTTATTCTAAAGCTGGATGAATCTTATGTAGCCAACATGTTCAGTGGGTTATTCACTGGTCTGGAGTTTTGCGACTCACTCGCCATGGGTTCAAACACTACCCGTTCCGTGGATTGTTTGCAGTCATCACAGGGAAGCACTTCATGAGCTCCTCAAATCATTAGATACCCTTCAAGCTATTGTAGAAGGCCAGCGCAAGCCTACATCACGTGACATTAGCTGCTCAGCTGATGGTGGCACTATTGATAATGGGAGAGGAGAAACCGGGAGAGACTTGTCAATGAGAATTTATGAGCAAAAGTGCCTGCAACAGAGGTGACAAGTGTTCATTGTCTTAAATCTGTTGTCATGAGTCGTGGAGTAGTTGCGACAGGGATGATATTTCGGGGAATTAAGTGTGAGTTCGTAAGTAGACGAGATGTGTCGCAACGTACCCAGACTACCCCCGTCTCTAGCCACCGCAATAAAGAAAATTCTTACTGTATATATATATATAGTGCAGAATATGCACCTGCATATACAGAGCGAAATATACGCGTCCTAGTGCATGCTCTGTGTTCCATGAGTCCTGTAGAGTTAATGTACTCTGATTACACATGACAGTTTGCTTCACCCTTCAACGAAAGTACCTCGTTGCTAGTAAAAAATACATTGATGCAGGGAATTGGGGCTCTCCTTTCCATGGATCAACACTGATTGCCTCCCATTCCTCAGGCTTTGTATAACCCTTGTGAGTTTAGCGCTTGCTTATGACCATAATTTTGAGTAATTTATCCACAGGCCTGATGTCACGTTTAGAGCTTGTAAACAAGCTGAGGAAAACACTTCTTAACCTGTGTAAATTCTGTGATGTAAAAAGGCAGACTCTGGGACTATGTTGTGCATAAGACTCCCAGGGAGGGAGAGGAGAGGGCGTCTAGAAACAGCTGTTATACAGGAACGAACCACCACTGAACAAGTGAGCATCGCGCCAACACGTCCAGAACTCAGTTCTTACGAGAAAAAACAACTGTCCAGTATTTATGACATCACACACAGCACCACCTGTCATTACCACATCTTCCAAGATTCTCGATATCACACACACACAACAAACTCACACACACACACCACACACACACACCACACCACACACACACACACACACACACACACACACACACACACACACACTGCAAGAAGGCCTTCGACACACTTCCTCACAAGAGGTTACTGCAAAAGCTAGAGGATCAGGCACACATAACAGGAAAGGCACTGCAATGGTGTTTGTATCAACAATAGTAAAAAAAAGTTTCTTATGCTGCCTAACTAATAAGAAAATACATCATAGGGATAACAATAAACTGGTTTTTTTTTTAAATTTAATGATTTTCCATTCAAAAGACAAATTATATGATTTATTCGAATTAATTCGAATAATCAGTTAAAGAGAGAATAAGAAAGCGTAGTTACTGAGAGAGAGAGAGAGAGAGAGAGAGAGAGAGAGAGAGAGAGAGAGAGAGAGAGAGAGAGAGAGAGAGAGAGAGAGAGAAGAGAGAGAGAGAGAGAGAGAGAGGAGAGAGAGAGAAGAGAGAGAGAGAGAGAGGAGTGAGAAGAGATGTGAGAAGGAGAGATTATGGAGAGAGAGAGAGTTAGAGACGGAGAGATGAAAGAGAGACTTGAGCTGTAGAGAGTAGAGAGCAGAGAGAGAGACAGACATGACTAGACATGAGAAGTGATACAGCAGACTTAACAGTCAGTTATGGACACAGCAGTTAGTAACGCGAGGCGAAAAATCTTCTGAGCTCTGTAAGATAAGCTCTACGAGAGAAGCTCTTAAATAAGCTCTATGACAGCAGCTAGAGCACCAGTGTAGGCAGCGTTGTAGTCACAGGCGACCTCATTCTGCACGTAGTTAGAGCGGTCGTCTTCGTAGTCGCCGTTCTGATGAAGAGAGACACGACATGAGCTGAATCAAAGTTGACATTGTTGACGAGTAACACATTGTATGTTTAGGTCATTTATGTCAAGGAGGTCACAGATGGCAAGTGTCAGGCATAAGAAATCTTTAATCTTCGCGAGAAAAGATGCAAGAATTTAAAATTAAGACGAACCCTTACGGCAAGATTCTTAAACACTAAAGCATTTGAAGAAAAAATGTCGAAACAATGATAAATACACTAAACAAGAATCATGGAGGATTACAAGTGATAATCTTAATTAACAAAAGCACTCTAATCTGCCCCGGTTCAGGTAACTGGGTATACCAACCTCGTCTGGTCCACCGACCAAGGCACCATATAGGACGTGTGGGTTGGGTCCAGGCTGGGTGAAAGCCCAGTCATAGTCACAAACCTCAGGGGGGTCGGGACACGAGCTGAAGATCAAGGAGAGAGATCACGTTAGAAAACTCAAATTTTGTCTCATCTGTAATTTTCATTTCGAATTTTGCATTCTTGTTTCAGTTGGCTTCAGCAGTAATTAGAATAACGTTAGAGAAAATTAAGAATCACAATGTGTTATTTTTTAAAATCTAAACAATACGGTGTTTCGATCAGTAATTGGTAATGATACAAAGATCGCAAAATTGTCATATGTGTGTACCTGGGACGGTGGTGAGGTCTCACAGGATACTTTTCACCGAAGCCCACAACGAAGGTCATGTTGTAGCGAGAGTTGGCACCCAGCAACTGGTCCATCTGATCCTGACCCCACTCGCTGTTCACTGACGTGTCCACACCATGTTTGGCAGCCTTGAAATGTAAAATCGACGCATCAACGCTGGAATTCTCAAAAAAAAAAAAGTACCAAATTTTTTTATGTTACTTCCATTTGACTGTTTTGAGGTGACCAAAAAAAAAAAAAAGAACTCCGACAAGGAAGACTTGTGTGTATATGTGTAAATTGACAAATTTATATCATCCACTGTTCTTTGCAGTTAATTACAAACTTTAAACTTAACAAGTCATCAAAAAATAATTGAAAGATTTTGTAGCTTAGCCAAATGTTCGTTCTTTCGTCACAATTTTGACTGCAGCAGTGCTTAAAGATCACATTTTTTGTTATAGGTAGACAGTTCAAAAGATTGTTTTTTTATTTGCCGAGTAGAAACAAGAGGAAAACAACTGTTATAGATTGCAGCTACTCCTGCGCAACAAGGCATTTTATAATTTTCTGGCTAGAAATATAGACAAACTGACCCAGAGAGCGAGGAAGGCAACATTAGCGGTATGCCTGTTTGATCCCCACGGGTCTAGGTAAACCATTCCCTCTGGGGTGTAAGGGGCGCTGTTCTGCAGGTAATCTAGGTAGTCCGTGAGGTGGTCCAAGTAGGTCTGGGAACCATCCAGCAGCCAGAAGAGCGCCTGTGAGAATCACAGGAACTTTTGAGAAAAACTGTTATTTCAGGCCTGATGCGTCATTGGAGGGTGATTAGGTCACAGCTCAACGCTAAAGTAATGTGTATTTTTAATCTACAAAAACATTTATGCATTATTCTTTTACATATTTATATATTCACAAGTTTTTAGGGTATTTTCTATAAAAATCAACAGTATACAAATAAATGCTTAACACTAATTTTAGAAACAGTGAAGACACAGGTTTTGAACACGAAGGAGATACTTAAAGACACATGGAAGCACAAGGAGAACCTTCGCATTTCGTCTTCAAGGTGACATTAACAATTTAAACTCTAACAGGAAGCTTAACATGTAGCCAAATAACAAGTAGCAAAACAAGCTTTTTTTATGACAGAGTCGCTCTGTGTAGAGCTTAACTCATGATATGATAAAACTCTACACGTAGCGATACTTTGTCCCAGTAAACACCTGTTTAATAGCTTGTGTCATCGTCCCTAAACTTGTCAACAAATAAGCTCTCTCATTCAGCGAGACTCACATAGACTCCGGGGGTCTTGTCATCCCAGTAGAACTGATTAGGCGGTGTAGTTTCAAAGTCGAACTCGTCCCAGTGACCCCTGGCGCGGGTGAGGTAACTCTCGTCCTCCGTCGCTCTGTACATCCACAGACTAGACCAGACCAGCTCGTCACCATACCCGCTATATGATCTGCAGACATACGCAGAATAAAGTCCTTGTCGGGGAAAGACGCAAGATTTATTCTCCAGGAGCCTGACCAATCAGAAATGGTAACTAAATGGAGGAGCATCAAGCTTCCAGTAACGTAAATATCAAAGACATTTATTGAGATTATATAAAAAATGGTGTTTGATGACGGTGTGACCGTCATCAAACACTACAATTCATTGCCTTTTGAAAAATTCTAGTTTCCTGGTGACGCTGATACTGAGAAAAGCTCCCGATCCAGGGAATTAGAGCTACCGTCTCTCTTTCCTCGGATCTAACGTGTACTTACTTGTACGCATCGGGGATCGCAACGTCATAGTTTCCACGGAAGTTGTCACCGAACTCGTAGAGTTCCTTGGCCAGGGCTAGTAACTCCTCGGCGTAGTCAGCGTCCGTATCCTGAGGCGGGAAGTGACGAGGTGAGTGCCGAGCGAAACAGTCAGGAGAAATAGTGAGAGAAGTAGCGAGGAAAATAGCAAGGAAAGTAGCGAGAGAAGTAGCAATGAAAATAATGAGGAAAATAGCGAGAGAAGTAGCGAGATAAGTAGTGAGAAAAATAGCGAGGGAATTAGCGATGGAAGGAGTGAGGAAAGTAGCGAGGGAAGTAGTGAGGGAAGTAGATAATGAAGTAATAAGGAAAGTAGCCAGGAAAATAGTGAGGGAAGTAGCGACAGGAGTAACAAAGACAATAGCGAGAAAAGTAACGAGGGAAGTAGCAGGGGAAGCAACGAGAAAAGCAGTGAGTTAAGTAGCAAGGGAAGTGGCGAAGGAAGTAGTGAAGGGGATAATGAGAGAAGTAATGAGGGAAGTAACAAGAGAAGTAGTAAGGGAAGAAGAAAGGGAGAAATAATGAGGGGAAGCAAGAAAGATGACACAGAGAAGCGCTGAACCTGTATGGTTCATACGACGGCTGGAGAATCAGGTGTGATCCGAGGAAGAGGAGTATTTCAAGTACCCTTCACCGGAAGAGTTACGTAGAAGGGAAACGCAACACGAGAGCTTCCGGTAGAAAGGGAAGTGACGACAGGAGGAGAGAAAGGGAACAGCAACGGGAAGAAGTGATGAATAACGGGAAGATAAGAACAGACATCAACAGGAAGGAAAAATATGAGTGAAAGAATATGAATTACTACTGAAGAATAGGGAAGAGGAGGAAGAAGAAAGAAACAGGAAGAAAGTGGCGGAAAATAAGGAAAAATCAGGAAGGGAGCAACAGGAAAATAACAGTTGGAAACAAACTACAGAAAGGGAATTAATGCACGAGAGCAACAGGAAAAGAACAAAACGGAAAGAAGCAACCTAAACAACAGGAAAGAAGCAACAGAAAAGGAAAACAGACAGAAATCTAACCTTGAACACCAAGTAGGAAGCAGCAAGAGCGGCAGCTGTCTCAGCAGCCAATTCCGTACCTGAGATCAGAAAAGTGACCGATTACTCAATTTTCTACCTGTCCTCTTCTTCCACTTTCTCCAGTATTAAAATCATCTTTATATTCGACTGAAAAAGCCTTCGGTGAAGGCGAAACGTTTCGACCATAAACGTACATTTATCGAATCGTCTAGTTCGTCAGTACGCTCGCCTAGAGTATTTCCATAAACGTGTGTACCACTGAATTAAGAAATGTTATCATTTCTAGTGAGCGATGAGACATTATACAAGTTGATATTACAAAGATGAGAAACAATGGAGGGTGTGGGGTGGAGGCTGGAGTTAATTTGTGTATCATCAGGGCTCTGATCGACCAGCCAGGGTCATCAGGACCCGAAATGACCACAGAGGATTGTCAGGAGACACACCTACCAGGGTGTTCTTCATCAATCTTGTAAGAAGGTCGCTCCTCTGTCATGTTTTCAGGTCGGTTCCACTCGGCGTGGTCAATTACACTATTTCCGCCCTAAAAAACGCCCCCAAAAACACATGAAAATTTTTTTTTGCATTTTTTACTTTTCTTTTTTCAAATTTTACAGGGAATTTTTTTTACAGTAAATGAGTTTAAAGGGTTTTTGGACTCAAGAAAATCTTTAATTCTTATTCCCAAAAAAGTGACGGAAGGGGGTTGGGAGCTCGAACCCTTTGGCGGGGGTCCAAAAAAAACTAGCGGGTTTCGGGGGGCGTTAACTAAGGGCCCATGGCCCCATTTATGATCCCTGTTTTCCTTAAACATTCTCCCGATGCCCATTTTTATAAATTTCATTTTTTTTATGTACTCCCCCAGACTGTGTGTCGCTTTTAACAGGGGAAACCCCGTTTTTATTCCCACTATGTAACAAAAATTTTTGGGAATAGGAAATGCAAAATGAAAGTGTTCCACAACGTCCTTCATACTGCAGGGGTTGCATGGGTTTATATCTACCCATATAGTATGTCAGTAGCAAAATTTGCGGGTTTTTCCTTCACTAAAAACTTTCATATAAAATTAAAGTAGTTTTTGAAATTGCGGGTTTTCCCCCACAATGCCCCTTCCCACTGTGGGTACTTTTCAATAAAAAACTTAAAAATTTTAACTATGTGCTCCCGGGCCCAAAAACTCATTCGTTGGGGTTTGAAACCCTTTTTAAAAGTAGTCAGTACCCCATTTGAGGGGCACCCCAAACGCGTAATTCAGTTGGCCTTTGGAAATTAACAAAATAAAAAGGGATTTTTTTCATGTCGTAAAAAAATTTACTCAAAGAAACAAGAAACCCCAAAATTGTGGGAAAAAAAAACCCAAAATTTTTAGGCCGAAAATTTGGAGTCGTTTATAGTTATGTTTTTTTTTTTGGTCCTCGTGGGTTTTACGCTTTTTTTCCCTTTGTAAAAGGGATTATTACAGTAAAACCTGTACCCTAATTAGGTGGGATTTTACTCGAACTCCTACCTTTCGGTAATCGCTTAAGTAAACGTACTTGACAGTTTTTCCCACCCCTTTGACGGGTTCAAAAAAATAAAAAAAAGGGGCAAAAATCCGTGCCCTTGGAAAAACGTTACCCCAAATTTAACCCCCCAAAAAAGAGAGAAGCTTACGCGCGTTTCGGTCCGACTTGGACCATTGACAATTCATTGATTTTGCCCAAGGGTCCAAGTCGGACCAAAAACGTCGTCGTAAGCTTCTTCTTTTATGTGGGGGGTTTTTTGGGTTAATGCAGTTCATTTGGGAACTTCCGTTTTAAACCTTCATGTTTTTCGGGAGTCAACAGTTTTTTTTTTAGGCTAAAAAAAACCAAATTTTTTTTAAAAATTGAGAAAATTTGAATTTAAGAAAGCAAAAAAGAGATTTAAGGGGGCCCCATATAAATTTTTCCTTTCCTCTATGCGGGGGAAAAAAGTCAGTTTACATCTCTGATGTTTTTTTGATTTTCTCGTTTCCTCAGCGAGATACCTGGGGAAATGGGCATCGCCCTGTTTTTACCAGCAGGGGATCTTCACCAGAATCAACAAAAAAACCACGGAGGAAGAGCGAACTCACCCGTTTACTGTAGCCGTCGGAGAAGTCGAGGAGCCCCCGGGCCCAAGATGGTGATGGAGTTGGACATTGGGAAGCCGAACTTGACCAAGTCCCCAGCGGGGGGAAAGAGGAAAAAACCTGTTAATGAAAATTCCAGTTTATCGCAAAACTAAAAGGGAGGCTGAATTTTTAAACTGAAGCCTGTTTAGAAAAAGGGGAGTCTTCATTCGGGGTTTCGCTCATAGTAAATTTCTAAAGTCATCTTGTTTGAATAAAACATAAATGTTTGAAATGTGAAACAAAATGATTTACTCTGCTATAAACGTTTAGTCTTGCAAGTCAAAAAACCTCTTTTTATTCTACTTCCCATTGATTCATTAATCCTTTTTTATTTTCTTTCTTTTTTAAGAAATGTTTTCTGATATTTTGTTTGGGGTATTGGGATTGAGTAGTTTTCAACCATAAAATTTTTTTATTTTTGTTATTTTTCCCGCCCCAAAAACTTATCATTGTCTACCCTAAAAAAACCGAAATTTCTTTTTTTATGTCGTGATATCTCCCCTCCTTCCTTGTTTTTCAGTGCATGTTTTGTGTGTGTGTGTGTTGTGTGTGTGTGTGTGTGTGTGTGTGTTGTGGTTGTGTGTGTGTTTTGTGTGTGTGTGTGTGTGTGTGTGTGTGGGGTTTTGTGGGGTGGGGTGTGTGTGTGGTATGTGTTTTGTGTGTGTGATTGCTTACCATGAAATATCCACCCGTAAAGGGCATGGCCCACATCAGCAAGGGTCCCGGGCGAGGGGCACCCCGCCAGGGACGGGTTATTTTCTGGTTTGTTTAACGGACCTTTTTGGGTTCGTTGAAGAAGAATGGGTTTTAGAGCGCCTGTGAGAGTGAGAAAGTGTAGGAAAAGTTTACAAAATTGAACCAGAGGAAAATTTAAGAGGAACCGTGGAAACCCCCCCCCCCTAATATAAGTAGAAAAAGGAAAGAAAGACAGGGGGTTTTTATTGGGGTTTTGAGTTTAAATTTTTTTCTCGATAGGCGATTTTTTTAAAAACTACCACTGCCATTTTTTGAATTTTTAATACTTAGTACCCGTTTAAAGTATTTGCCCTTCCCCAAATGCGCAAAAACCTGATTTATATTTTTTAAAACTTTCCGCCAACCTTATTTTAAAAAAAACCCCCCACTGTTTCTGTTTTCTATAACAGTGTAATCCCCTGTGCTTTGGGAAAAAAAGGGGTTTAACCCCCCTCACACGTTCACACTCTCTTTTCTCTCCAGGAGTTGCTCCACCCAAACCAAACCCCACAAAAAGCAGCAACCTTACATGTGTCAAAGGCCCCTACAGTAAATTTGTCTTCTTTTCCCGCCACTATTGTAACCATAAACGTTTTTTTTTATATTAAAACAATTTAAAGTGTTCTGATCCACTGTTTTCTAAAAATTTTTACCCCTTTTTAAACTCTCTTGAAACTAAAAAAACCCCTATTTCCGTGGCAGTAAATTTCACACGCTTAAATTTATAAATTAGATTTTTGAAAAGTTGACATTTCTTCCCATTTTGGGGAAATTTTTTCAAGTAAACTGCTAAAAAACATTTTTTTCATTGCCTAATAAAAGTCAAATCTCTTTTAGAACTTTCTTTTTAATGGGAAAACGTCTATAAAATGAATAATTTGTTACATTTATTATTTTTACTCATTTTTTATTTTTTTGTGTTGGGGGGGAAAGACTCCCCCTGTGGGTGTCGAGGGGTTTTCGTGTCCTTGCCTTTAATGGGGTTTTTCGCAGCGTGGGGGGTTTCCTGGGGCGGGGGGTGAGCAGGGGGTGATGATTTTTGGGGGTGAGGGGGTGGTGAGTTGTTGGTGGGGTGAGCGTGGCGGGGTGTTGAGGGAAGTGGTTTTGGAGGGGAAGACGAAAAAAAAACTTTTTTGTTTTTTTGGAGGCTAGTTGATTGGGGGGGTTTAAGGTGTGTGGGGTGTGTGTGTGTGTGTGTGTGTGTGTGGGTGTTGTGTGTTGTGTGTGTGTGTGTGGTGTGTGTGTGTGTGTGTGTGTGTGTGTGTGTGTGTGGGGTTTTGCGTGTGATGTTGTGTGGGTGAGTGTGTGTGGGTGTTGTGTGTGTGTGTGTGTATGTTGGTGTGTTTGTTGTTGTGTATTGAGTGTGTTTGTGTTGTGTGTGTTTGTTGTGGTGTGTGTGTTGTGGTTTGTTTGGTGTGTGTATGTGTGTGTGTGTGTATGTGTGTGTGTGTTTGTGTGTTGTGTGTGTGTGTGTTTGTGTGTGTGTGTGTGGGTGTGTGTGTGTGTGTGTGTGTGTGAGTGTGTGTGGGTGAGTGTGTGTGTGTGTGTTAAACCAGTCCATACCTATGCAGAGGAGGGCTAGCGCCCCCAGCAGACACGTCTTCACCAGGACACCAGTAACCATGACTGCAGAAGTCTGAGGTGACGATGGGTCTTCCCATCTCTCTTATATACTCAAACGAGCACACCTCACCAGTGTGATCGTGGCAGCTGTTGCTTACCAGAGACCCAGTACACTGTGTTTATGCTTAAATATGACATGAGTTCTTCTACGTGAGAAGTTATGAACAGACGAAGATTATTGCCAAGTACTTTCAGTTGTTACTGCCAGTGTTCACCTGTAACACCAAATATCAGTATTTGTGGAAATTGGAAAAATTTATCATACTCAGTTCTATCAATAGTTTAGGTTAGACTAGACAAAATAATAAGACAAGAATAAGAGAAATGAGATGACTTCAAAAATCAACGAAGTTGATATTTGAAAGAAGTGTTCTCAGTGGATACAGGCAAGAACTGAAGGTCAAAAGGAAAGAGTATGCCCAACGATTCCGGATCATTATAATCTATAAAATTAGTTGTAATGAGTCTATACGTAATCTTAATGCATCAAAGGTTATCAGGCCTGAAAAAGTGTGCGAATAGGTGTGACATGGACTTGCTAGCATGGGCCAAGTATGCCTCCTGCAGCGCTCATTCTTTCCTATGTTCTTATATTCTTATGAATTTTGCAACGGGAGGTTAAAGCACTCTGTGAACCACTAGCTAGAATCTACAAGTCGATGTAGCTGTATGACAACCGCCAGAGATCTAGAAGGCAGTGACTGTAGTCCCTTTATTTAATAGACAGACAACTATTAATACAGTATTGTATAATGGAATGGAGGAGATAATCAGGAGAGCAGAAAAACACTTCGTGAGAAGTGATTTTGTAACCAACAGCCAAGACGGGTTACTTTAGAAGAGGAGAAAATCTATGCCTTAAACCTGATTTAGTTGTGATAATGTAATGATAAAGTGGGGGTAGGAGAAAGTGAGAGTGAGAGACGAGGAGAGAGATGAGGGAGAGAGAGAAGGAGTGAGAGGGGGAAGTGAAGAAGAGCGAGAGAGAGGGGGGGGAAGAGAGAGAGTTGAGGAGGAGAGAGAGAGAGAGGAGAGAGAGTGTGAGAGAGAGA